AACGTTTCGACAAGGTTTTGTCATCATCAGGTACCAAAACCTTGTCGAAACGTTGTACATTTGCTGTTATATTAAAGTTTTTCTTCATTACCCATTCTAGCCATCTCCAGCCATTATTAGTCTCAAAGTGGGTTCCTCGTCATCGAAAATGTTAAGTTAAACTTACAACAGTTAAAAAGTATAATAGTAATAATAAAATAACCATAAAGAAAATTATAACACTTCTTAATCATTTGTTCTGTGATACTAACTATAGTATTAATGATGATAAACATAGCTAATGTATTAGACCCAGTATTGGAAATTTTTTCCACATATTTGTACCATGCTACAAATTTTCACAAAGGAAAGTGAAACTCTACACACTGAACTTACTACCAAGTGACGTTTTATCACTTTCTTTTTCTTCAACATCCAACAAAGCATTCTCCTCATCAATAAAGGGTTCTTCTATTTTCAGTACTTCCATATTTCAATCAGTTTCTCCTTAAGCTTATGTCTTAATTGGAGCGTGGAATTACTTTTAGTCCTACCACAAACCAAGAAACAATCGAATTAGAGCTTGTGTATTTTTGAGTGAAAGATAATTATACCAAAAAATTTAAATTTCATTAGGAATTTGTTTTACATATTTGACGTTGCGAAGAAAAATTAAATACTCGTTACGATAGGCACGTTTTTATATATCTTACATCAAAAACTCCAAAACAACTTAACAAAGTGTCTCCCTTAAGACATTCTACTTTAACACATTCCTAAGTAAATTGGTGATACTGGTAGTAGCAGTTAACAAAAGACGCCATCATCCGACTACAAACAGTATTCTACCGCAATACCAGTCAGTGCGGGCAGTCACACGTCACGGGATGAATGAATTTTTACGTAGTACCCTCGCTAACAGCGCTCAAAAGAACTAAAGTCAGTAATACGTTTATTAATAAAGAATTAAGTAAAAATCATGAAACGACTTTTTGTTGTTGTTGTAACTATGAAAATATTAAAATTCTGCGTTTATATCAATATAAAACTTGATTCAGTGTGTGTGTCGTAAACATAATCTGACAATACTATCCTTTTAAGGTTCCCCGGTTGGGCGTCGGTAAGTCAACGGACTTACAATACTAAAATCTGTGAATACAGCAGATAACACTATATGGCTTTATTCTAAAATATATAGTCGGTATTGGGCCTTAGATCTTTGTAGATCTGGAACAGTCGGGTTCACCTGTACCTCTTCCTCCCCTGCATTTGTTAGTTTACAGCTGTATAATATTCTTTTAATTACAACATGAGGATCAGAGGTTATAGATAGATAAACAAGTTTGGTTTAAATTCGATGACGAGGAACCCACTTTGAGACTAATAATGGTTGGAGACGGCTTGAGTTGGTAATGAAGAAAAACTTTAATATAAGTTTAACATAACAGCAAATGTACAACGTTTCGACAAGGTTTTGTCATCATCAGGTTTAAATTTCGCGTAAAGCTACACAGGGGTTTTCTGCGCTAGCCGT